TAAAACATTAAATTTTATAAATTATAATATATAATAAAATAATAATAATAATATATTAATATACTATAGTAATAATATACTAATATAGATATTGTATATTTATATAATATAAGTTATATAATTAATATATAATATTATTTTTATATATTAATATTAGGGATGTCAAATTGGCTTGTCGTTCGCGAACAGCTCGTGTTCGGTTCGTGTTCGGCTCGTTCGTTAAGAAACGAACACGAGTTTATTTCAAACAAACTAAATTTTAAACGAACCGAACACGAACACAAGCTTTGTTCGTTCGTGTTCGGTTCGTTTACACCCCTAGACACGAGCCTTGCAAATGTTTACAAATTGGTGATGGTGATGGAAATGAGAGAGTGGAGGTGCGCGTTGACGGGTTGTGTGATTTATTTGAACCATAGTTGTCTGGTGAAGCTTGGATTGAGGAAGCTGAGAAAGTAGTTTGTTGGAGTGCTCGCGATGCATTTCAATGATCAAAGTATTGCTATAGTGAGAAATTTGAGCTCATCAGAGTGTAGACGGTGACATTCTCCAAATGTTGAAAATAACCTATCGAAAGCCTTGTGGTTATGCTTTGGATGATTCTACACCGATGAACTCATCTATAATGGGATTTCATTTCTTCACTACTCGTTACCTCTCAGAAGGGAGAGAAATAACGAAAGAAAACTAAAGTAGTTGTTTTTTTTTTTTATAAATTTGATAAAATTTTGTGTTTGATAAGTAGATGTAATGTTTGAAATGTTAGATATGTTGAATGAGAAGTTTTGGGCGGCATGCATACATGCATATAAATTCCCATAATATTTAATATCACAAAAATTAAAAATCTACAACGTAATTATGTCAAATTGAGTTCATATCGGATTCACGTTTAATCGAATTTGACTCGACCTAAAATCGTTAATTCGACTTGAATATTAAATGACTCACCAACTAACACGAATATGATCCGCATTCAACTAGACTAACCCAAATCCGACCACGATATAATCAATACCCGTTTATATATATATATATATATATATATACATAATAAATATTTATTAAATTAAATATTATAAATTATAATTAATCAATTTTTTAAAAAAAATATTATATTTTTAAAAATTAAATCTTATAAATTATAATATATAACAAATTATTAATATTAATATATTAGTATTACTTATATTAATATTATTTATAAAGAAACCCTAATTCCCTCTAGCCTCCGCTCTCGAAACTTCTTCGGCGGCAAAAGCTTAGGGTTTGTCATTTGTGTTCGCATGCTCTCGAAAGTTATGTTTCGACTCTCTTCCTCTTCTGACTCGTCTCCTTCTCCTCTCAAAATCGCAAAAGGGTTTCGACAGCGAGTGCTTAGGGTTTGTCATTTGTGTTTGTCTACTAAAATATTTTTTATTTCTCCTCGGATAGTCAATTGCTCGATATTCTTGCTTGGATGCTTGTTTGGGTGCCGAGATGTCATCTTCTTGATTCGTTGCTCGGTATTCTTGCTTGGTTACTTATATAAGGGCTTTGTTGTGAAATTTATTTTAGCTATTGTGCATTTGTGTGGCGATTCATACAGGTATAAGCGTTTGTGCCCTGATTCGACTATTGCCTCTAGATCTGATTTTATATA